ATGCTGTCTCTCCTTTATGAGCTCCGTTTTACAGGACTTTATGGTGTTTAGCGTTTTCTGCAGCAAAGATCGGAGGGTGAAACTCCCCGTTAGGTGTCATGCAAGAGGTCAGGATTGATTATAATAACGTAAGGTCTAGTTTCAGTCTGTCCGATTCTGCTGAAAGCAAACCTTAGGAAAAAGTAAGAGTGTTCAAAGATCATATACGATATACCTGCCAAATGAACTGTGATCGACCGTCTTCCTACAATGGCACGTCTGCTCAGTTGTGTGTACTTTCTGTTTTCTCATTTTGGCTTGGGTGAGCAGCTGCATGTGAAAATCTCGGTCGTGCATGCTGTGTTTCTTGGTCACCACGAATAAATGCAGCAACATTTTTGGATGCACACTGGCCGTGTGGTATTGGTGAGACATCAGGGCCTAGATTCCCACACCCCTGACTGTAGACACTTACCTGAGGTGCCCAAATTAGTAGCCTGGTTGCTTGAAGCTCCTCTGTGGTCTTCGGAGAGAGACGGGCATTTCCAGAGAGCAAGTCATTCCCTGTAGGCCCCTCGTTGTATCTTGAGGGGACTTGAGGTGAACAGGTTACAAACGTAGACATCTCGGATGTGTGCCTAGAATTACGTTGGATGAATTCAGGCGTAGTTATTTTATCGATGTATTGAAATCCCTGCTGAAACGTGGCCAAGGGGAAACACAAAACGTCTTTCCCTGTTAAAATGCCAGTTATACAAAAGACTATTCAGTAACTGTAAATGGTATTAGCCCATACAAGCATGCTGCTAAGCGTTTTTTTCCTTTGGATAGCAAAACAGGTTACTGTACCAGCTGCTATAATTAAAGCTAACAGAGTGCTTGCAGGGAACCGCATTCGTTAGCTTTTAGAACACGTCTGTTGCTGTGGAAACCACTGCTTACCATAGCTCAGGGTCTTTACTGACACAAGGCAGGTGCAAGCTCCAAAATGCTAGCATTTCTCATGGCGGAAGAGGACAATTTGTAAAAGTCTGTCTGGAATAGGTATACATTAGCCAATGATACGTACGGTTCCAAAGCATGCACTGTGTTTGATATGTTATTTTTCTAAAGTTCACTGTGCAATTAGAAAAAGATTTAAATAGACTAAATGCATTTCAGTAATGAAAAATTATGTTAGGCTTTTGAATTTATGGGTCTCAGTGCTTTGCTTTTCTCCTGGTTGTTCTTCCTTTGCCGTAATAAACTATTGCCCGCTCTGGCCTTAAAACTGCTAGATGTAGGAAATGCAAATAAGCAAAGTTAGGTATGTGTAAATGAACTTTGAAAGTTGCCAAGTTGTCTGGCATGTACATGCTGTCATAGGATGTAGAATTAGTAATGCCCATAGTTAAAAGTTGCCTCGTACTTTCCAGGTTGAGACCTGAGTTTTGTGTGACTGCTGATTTACAGGTGTGGCGCTAAGAATTTCGCATGGCCCTGGGAGCTCTCTGTGGGGCCTGGTGCACAGCTTTCCCAGCTGAGCGGGACACATAGCCTTTTATAGTGACTGGGGTGCACAAGCACACAACTAAACCCATGGTGTACCTGAAACGCCCGTGTGTGCGTGAAGCAAGTAGTGAAGTAAATGAATCTTTCTGGCAGCAGTAGCCCGCTACTAGCCGTGATTCCCGGGAGCCCCTTGGCCTGTCCAGTACGTGAGGAGGACGAGCCTGTGACATGCTCGGAGGGAGGGGAGCAGGCCACCGGGTAGAGATTGCTGCCAGCACCTCAGTAATTCATTCATCTCTGCCTCATATGAGTAGAAGAGAGCCTCTAGGAGCTGGGCACAGGCTAGATGAACTGCTTGGACGTTTATATGCTTTAAGCTGTGCAGTGTATGATTACAGAGGTAGAGGAAACTGCAGGGCAGTTTTGGGTGAAAATCGGTGCTTTGAAGACAGTAATAAAACTGTTAATCGCTGCTGTTAAGGTTTATTGGAAAGCGAGTGGAGGTTTATTTTTCCTGCCAGAAAATTGTTACTTGCATAAACTTGTTTATTTTCTGCTGCCGGAGGCTTTTTATGCCCCATGGACTTTGCTTCCATTATAAATCTTTAACCTCTTTTAGTATATAGGATAGCTCAATCTCTATGTTTTGGCTTTGCTTACTGAGTTAGGTACTTATCACTAGATCTGACTAGGGTTTTAGGGGAAGTTGACACATGTCCTTCTTTATTGTTGTTGTTTTTAAGTTAGGTTTGTCTGGTGAAAAAACCTTTCAGATTTTGGAAAACAGCTGTTTTTTGGAGGAAATCTCTTGTTGAGACCATTGGTCAGATGATTCAGGTTTGCATTGCGCTTTCTGCTCAGTCTTGAGAGCTGAGAAACTGATTCTCAAGTGGTTTAGACCCAATGTGTGATTTCTGAGGAAGGTGTTAATATCAGATTTTAATGGAAACTGTTTTGTGGCCCCAGCAATAACATATTTACTGCTGTTTCGTCGTAAGACTATTTATGGCGCATGCAAATCTATTAGTTAATGTCAGAATGTTAGTGGAAACAGTCTTTGGGCAGCAGAGTTTCAGTCAGCTCCAGCTAAATTTTGGCAGCACTAAAACTTGAGGGAAAGCTTCCTTAATGCTGAGGGATAACATTTAGAAATTTTAATTACAGTAACTATGTCCATTTTAGCTATCATTCATTTTCTGAAATAAGTTACATTTCAATCACTTTCTGGATAAAGGTCTTTTGGTGTTACAGTCACATACAAGGGCAAGAATAGGACCTTTATTTTGCTTGAAAGTGAGGCAAACTGATGTGGTTCATTACAGGACCACTGACGTGGCAGTTAGCTCAGTGCACCTAAGCCTATTTCAGGGTTCATTCTTTCACCCTGAGGCTGGTTGATGTTGTTTGGCCAAGTCCATACCACTCATCTTCCAAAACAAGATGGCCACAAGGAAATTGCATGCTAGGAATGATTCTTATGCTATATTCAGAGACCAGCTTCCACTTTGTTATAGTTAGGCAGTTTGTTTAGAGGATCTTACTGCTAGTTTTAAAACAAGCGGTTTGCCTTTGAATAATAAACATGCTTGGGCCTTCAGCTTTCCAACTAACTTGCTGCTATGCCTTGTGATCCTTCAGGGTGTTTGGAATCGATATCCAAGGCAGGGACTGTGGTGATGAAGTGGCTAAATGGATTACCACTTTCCTGAATACAGAACCGTATCGACTAGTGCACTTTGAGCCTTCCATGGTGCCAAGAAAGTCAAAGGATGTAATAAACCTTTTCCGAGCTACGGATGAGGTAAATGAATGTTCTTCCCGGCAGTACGTTTTTGTATCCTTTTTTCCCCCACCCCTGCCCAAAGCTGCCTGTTCCGTCCTCAGTAATGTGCTTGATTTAGCAAGGTTTGTAGTCATGTACTTGAGGAGAATGTTCATGCGCTTTATCTTTGGTGGGACAACTTGCTGCCTGAACTTTGCTTTAAGTCTGCTCTAAGCTATTGATCATCCACAGCTAAAGAGTATTATGCTGACATTTTAAGAGGAGTTGTTATATTGAAGAATTATATGGAATCCCTTTTTGCCTCAGTGAATAGAAGAAAGCTATCTTTTTAAAGATATTTTGCTGGTATAATCCGTGTTGTGCAGAAAACCTTCATTCTCTCTCCCTTGTTAGGTCTAGCAGTATTGTGGTATGAGTCGTCTTACCTCATATTTTGTATAAAGGGATGGTGCTAAACTCAGTTCTCTGTAGTCACAGGCCTAGGAATTACCATCCAAAGAGACTGCAGAGTTTTCATCTCTTTCCTCCTGTGAGGAGAAGCTGGAAGACAGGGTATTAGATACAGATTTGCAGTCAGAGAAAGGAGATGTTGTGCTCAGTCAGTTCGTTTCCTAGATGTCCTCGTATCACTGGAGCCACTGATGCTCCTCTCTTTGTCTGAATAAAACTCCCATGTAGAGATGGTTTGAACTGAGCCTGATGAGTGTAAGCTTTTTAAGCAAATGCAAGTTGCAACTACCTTACCCTACTGTTGTGATGTTATTTTTTATAGAACAGTAGTGGTTTGCTTGTTGCACGAACGAAAGGAAGTGTATGCAATTCTGGACCTTTATACATGAGCATTTATCATGTAAGGGTGCTGAGACCAGTGGAGAAGACAACAGGTTTCAGGAAATGAGGTGGCCGATTGGGAGGGATCATGTTCAGGAGTCCTAGCATGAACAGAGGGCAACTGTTTTTGTAGCTATTTCAACACTCATTTTCTTGTGGTTGGAGGAGAAAAAGGCATAGTTAAGATAGAGTATGCATGAGGGGAAAAGGATAATATAGGAGAAAAAACAGGAGGGGGGCTTTCAGTGTATACTAACTTTTATGCCAAAATTCTTACCACAATTTCCTGCTTTTTCAGTGTAACTGACATAGGTAGGATTTTTCTTTTAATCCTGTTCATTGGCCTTATTTGCCCAAATGGCAACCATTTTTGCCTCTAAACAAACTTAGAGCAATGAATGGACAGTTGCAATTTAATATGGTTCTTCTGTATGTAGAACTCTCTCTCTGTGATAAGATAGATTCAGTGATAAGATGATTCAGTATACTGTGGTAAGATAGGTTCGGTACATAGAAAAATCCAATTAGTTGATTAGAGTCAACCAGGTAAGTTCAGCAAGTCCATAAACTTCTTAGTGTCTTTCATAACTTTCCATAACGTGTTTTACTGACGTACTTTGCTCTATCTGTAACACCTAGAGTTAATGTCTGGAACATGCTTCCTATATAGTGTGTGTTTATTGTATTGTTTAATTTTACAGGCTGAGCAAATAAAACTTAGAGTGGTTATTGAAATAGGAAAGGGCATGTAATTTCATTTCTTAACATATTTCCAGTGAATTAAAACCTAACTGTAGCAGCATAAGACCGCCAGGCTACTACATGGCCATTGGTTCCAACGTACCGATTTTTTTGCCATTCAACATTTCTGCAAACTCTGCTTCCATGGTCTTGCAGCAGCCAAAGGATTTTTTTGTGTTTATTTACCTAGGTTGCCTACCCTGACTGTAGCCCACTCTTGATCCTCACAGAAGCTTCAGTGGAAGATCTAAACACCAGAATGGAGAAGAAAATTAAGATGGAGAATTTCAGGCCAAATATTCTTGTTACAGGTTGCGGTGCTTATGCAGAGGTAAAATAACTCTTAAATGTCTTTTTGGAGGCTTGGATATGGTTTTTGTAACTCCGTTTCCTTGGGGGATGGTATCTACAAGGATGAGGAAAGCTGCTGCTCTGTGATTCACAGCTGACCTCCAGACAGATGCGGCTTCATCTCACTTGAATGTACGTGAAACACTGAGGGAGGTGACAAGTCTGTGAATACTTACTTAGCTTAGTGAAGGACAGAGTAAGTATATTTAAGTGACAGGTACAACTGAATGCTTATCTTTAAGTGTAAAGTAAGAAAAGTTATGCTTACTATAATGCATCAAATTAATGATACAGATGAACAATTTATAAATTGTCAGTGTGATGTTTTGTAATGGCTGTCACGAGTAAAAACTCACCCTTGTAATACTGCAGTACCATAACTGCGTCTCTGACAATATCCTGGTAGTGCAAAAAGCACTATATCTATGAAGGTAACTGGTGGTGCTGATGGCTTCTGGGTGTTTTGATGCCATGTGTCCGTTCTGACAAAGAATTAGCTCTGCAGTTAATGTGATTACTGGTGTGTCCTGAATTGGCTGAATATAATGACAATAGGTTTTTTATTAAAATAATCCCCTACTGTAATTGCACTTTCCTTGAAAGATGCGCGAAAGGTGATTGTCCAGAATGATACTGCTTCTTCTGAGAATGACTGTGCTTAGGACCAGCTCCTGGAAAAATGGTTACATGTGGATATGTCTAATCTGTGCATAATGTTTTCCTTCCCTCAGGACTCCTGGGAGGATATTCTTATTGGTGATGTGGAGATGAAAGGGACAGTGGCTTGTGCCAGGTAAGCATTTGGGTTTCCTATTAAATACATACACACACACACGTACGTACGTATGTATGTACGTACGTGTGTGTATATACATACACACACACATATATCTATGTATGTATACATACCACTGTTATTGACTTGGAACTGTCTGTCATTGCAGGTGTATTTTAACAACTGTTAACCCAGACACTGGGGTCCTAGATCGGAAGGAGCCGCTGGAAACGTTGAAAAGGTTGTAAAAATACCAGTGCTTCTCAAGGCTTGGGGGTGGGTGTAGGCTAGATCCCAACAGACATTAGGCAGGAGTTACATGAGTGAAGTGTGTGTTGGACACGAAAATGCAGTATAAAGCTCTGTCTCTGTGTATATAGGCTTCAGTTCTACTTTTTGCATTTCCATATGGTAAGAACACTCAGGAAGTTCTCTCTTCTTTGCAAACTTTACCGTCTCTTACCATCTCTGCCTGTGTGAATGCCTGCGGAAATAGATATCTAAGGTATATAAGGGTCTGCATTTGCACCTTTGGCATGTCTTTTTATGATAGTTTTTGTGTGTGTGTGTGAATACACAGATGTGTGAATACACTCAGTTTTCTCTCTGTTTGAACTGCTTAGTTCTCTTAATTATTATATTTATTTAGTTAATTTTAATCTACTAACTTGACCAAAACAGGGCATTGCTGTTCATGCGCCCTCTCTCTGTCATCACTGATACCTTGATATTTAGAATTTGCTACCACCGATTCTTAAGAAGTGTTCTCTCTCTGCAGTTATCGCTTATGTGATCCGTCTGAGCGACATATATACAAATCCAGCCCTCTCTTTGGAAAGTATTTTGCCGTTGACAAAACTGGAACAATTCAAGTTGGAGACCCTGTGTACAAGATAGTCGAGTAAAGGAAGATAGATTTTGATCAGAAGATGCCTTTTCTCATATTGTTTTCCCATGAGCACAGCCACTGACATAACTTTTTCTTACTCCTTGCAATATTTTTTGTGTTGTGTTCTTTTGAAAGGCACAGGGGGTCTTTGATGAGCCTGTGAAGTACCTAAGTGATTCAGGTCATGTCATCTGCTAGCATGCCTATAGAAACCAAATCTTTAGTGTTTTTCACAGGCTGTGAAAGAAGAAACTTCAATCCAAAGGCAGAATTTACAGCACTACTGAGAGTGCCACACTTCCTAATTTTTTGTGCCAGGCTCCATATTGGAATCCGAAATTGTATGCAAGGGCTTTGCATCATGTATTAGATATATTCAGTGCCTCTAAAGAACCACAAAAATAGTCACGCTGAGCCTAAGGTAAACTTACTGACTTTGGAGCTGCATTACTAGTACCCAGGGAGTGCTGAAGGCAAGGCTTTGTCTTAAATTCCGCCCTTCTTCGGTCTTAAGCAGCTTACTCTATTTCTGAATGTATTTTCCTTCAGTGTTTCTTAACCTGCAGTCATTCTCTGAAGACTGTGCGCTGTCTTTCAAGATTGGAGCAGTGTCAGAAGGAGAAGGGTTGGGAGCTGACTAAATGCTACTCTATTCTACAGGTGTGAATACTGACTAACTACGTAGGTTAATTTATGTCCTCTGTTTGAAAGAGCGTGAATCATCATTTCTGTCTCCCCTGAAACATACCCTAACAGCTAGGCTATAGGCTATTTCGAAGTGATGCACTTGCTACCATATCAGTAGAAATTGCTTCAATTTAACTAAAAGAATTAGATGTTATTTAGACCAGAGACTTTACATACATTGGAGAGAAAAAAAGCTATCGGGAATGATCTTATCCCGAGACTCCCCTTGTCCAAACTGATGTCCTAGCCACTGTTGTAGAGTGCTGTGTTCGTGCTTAGCTCCTCTTTGGCTCAGTGAATCTCTTTCTATAGAAAGTTGGGCTGCTTCAGCAAGAGGGTGTTTTTTACCAGAGACACCTGCCTGTACAGAGAGGTAAAGTTTTATGCATCCAGGGAAATCCAAAATTTAGACTTCTGGTGCCAAATAGCAGCTAAGCAGGGGTTTAAGAAGTTGCAATTTTAGCCTGAACATTTTTAACACCCTTACCCTGTACACGCTCAGTTTTCTGTTTTTTGTTTTATCCTAACGGAAATGTCAGCCGCTTACATGAAACTGATCATCATGTTTTCTGCTGTATGTTATACTGCAGAGAAGAAGTGTGGGGGGGGGGGGATGCAGGGGGGGGGGGGAGCGGTGGAACACTGAGGCTCTATCTTTTCTTCAACTTTAGCATAATTTTAAAAAACTGTACTCAAAGACAAACGTGAGTCATCTTTCAAGCACTTGGCCACCTGTAGCGTTGTTATGGACTAGTATGTCTGGGAAGAGTGTTGAATTAGCCAAAGGGAGATTCTGAGTAGGTACGAAGAAGGACGAATCATGGCCCAGTTTGGAGTTTTGCTGCATGTCCACAGCTGACGCTGGTAGAGTGAAGAGCCATCCTGCCTTTGAGCACATTCAAATGGATGTACGTGGCAACCATGGAGCAGGCATATGGGGAAAGTATTATTTGTTACTTGGCAGTTGCTCCAAATAATAGTATTTTGTTAGTAGAGTGCTCTGTAAGTGTTGAGTTCTCCTGTGACAGACAAGTCCCCAGCTAGGATGGTATATTGCATGCTTTTCCGTTGTTATTCCCAGTGCAGTGACTAGTGGGAAGAAGTGAGAGAAAAAGTATCTTCTTAAAATGAAAATAGTCATGAGATTCACTTAAAAAAGTATATGTTGAAAATCCTTAAAAATATTAGAAGCTGAAACATTGTGGAATTCCTAACATTATTAAGCAGAGACAGCCTGCTGGCCTTCCAGAGCAGTTAGTTAGGTATGTGTCTCTTAAGTGAAAAAAAATGGAAGGAAAGAGAGCTGAATTCTTGCCCCTAGCAAAGCATAATTCTCCACTGTTGTCTTAGCACCACGTTAGGAGTTTCGTAACACAAATTCTGTGCGGTATAGTCATGTTGCGCTTTGCTATCATTGACTGGAATAATCTGGGAATGCAGCTATTTGTCCAATGGGAAATTTTGCATCTGTGTTCTTGTTATTGAAAGAAAATTACATAGATTTAAACTCTGATTTACCCCTACAAAACCTCCTTAGAAGAATGTGGCTAGAATCCTAAAATGAGTATGCTTCTGAGTGTAGTGAATTTGACAAATGACATTTAAGTCAATTTTGTGATAAAAGAGGGCCCTTTTGGGAGCTGCAGAGGGTAACTAATTAATATTACAATATTTTCATATTATCATAATATTTTCATAATATTTTCATATAATTGTTGAATGACTGTAACTGTAGGAATTACATTTGATTTCAGTGAAGCCTTTTAGGAAATTGACTGAAAATATTATCAATCTTATAACACTTTTTATGTATGTGTGCTTAAAGCTGTTAACTGCATTTTAACTCTGGAAAGAAAAATATTCTTCTATTGAAAAAAATAAACTTCTGTTGAATCAAAACTCTTGTAAGGTGTAAGATTTCTGGAGCTTCTTTTTACTTTGTTCTCCTTTGTGGCATTTAACTTCTGTTGCTGTTTACTGGACCTCATACATAATTAACTGATTTTTTTTTTTTTTTACTCTTACCTCTATGTTCAGGAGAATCCCTAGTAAACCAGAGGAAGTCATATGGCAAAGAGTAGAACCATCAGACATAAACAGTCTGCAGGCTCAATTTCACAACTTTTATGATCTAGATGATGAAAAAGATGTTTACAGACTAAACACTGTAAAACTGATGCATTTCTGACCTCATCTTTTCTCCATGGACGTACAAGAACAGGGAAAAATTACTTTGAAAGTGGGAACATTTCGTACACTCAGTCAACGCAAAGGAATGTTTCCTATTTCAGGCCTTAAAGTGTAAAGCTAAGAGTTGTTTTACAGCAGTTACTGGCCAACGTGATTCTTGAAGAAGACTGTGAAAGAAGGACAATCCTTACAGGCAGAAGTTTCCTGATTGCTTAGGGTATGAGGTGGAGATATCTTAACCAAGACTGCCCCAAAAAAGGGAAGAGATCCATGCTTCCGCATCTTAAGGAGAAAAGGCCCCTTCAGAGGCATTGCTCCTCTCTGTAAGAGGAAAAGAGGTTCCTGGCTCTTGCCTGTCCAAATGACAAAGGTGTCAAGAAGGGCAGCTACAGGGTGTGGAGTTCTGGAGCTATTCTGCGATTCTAGCTGCTATTCTAGCACCTCAGACTGACCTTACTTTCATTTTGAGATCTCTAAGGACTTTCCTGCATTGTGCAGCTATAGGGCTGAGGACTATACCCTCAAAGCCTTTGTTTCTTTTGGACAAAAGAGTCTTAGAAAAAAATAATACAAACATCAAAGACGTGTGTACCAAATCTTTTCTTCAGCTGGAAGAGATGCAGCATTTAGATCTTTTTAAGATTACTTTTATTTACTTCTTCTACATAGTCATCGTGTTAATGCTGACCATCTCTGCTTCTAATGTCACTTCCATTAGTAATTATTTTTGCGTTTTACCCAGAGAGATGAAGTCCGTAAGGGCTTCAGACACTGCACCTCTTCTGAAACGAATCTGCTTACTAAACGTCACAATGTTTGGATTCTGGAGCCAGATCTAAAAAATATGCAAAAGTATTTAATATCTTCACTTGTTTTGACTTTCCTGGTGTGGGACAATGGTCTACACCTGTAGGTGCACTTTGTAATTACCTTCTCTTTTATTTATTGGAGTTTTGTTCCTTTGGACAGTGCCATGTCTACCTGCCAGCTGCGCTGCTTCCCAGACGTGTGTGTGAAGAGCCCCTCCGCGGAGAGGGGAGCGCCGGCTGCAGCTGTGTGGTGCTGTGGGCTCCCACACCACATGATGGTCAGCCAGTGCTGGTGGAACAGGGGCTAAGGCCTCCTTGGCTCCTCAGTTGGTAAATGTGTGTTTGGGATTGTTATTACCAGGTTGGAGGCAATCAAGCCTAGCAACTTGGCTTGGACTGAACGCATGGTGAAGACAAGCATCAAATGCCACAGATGAGACTGACCAGAGGCTACGAACCAAGGAGGACGAAGGAGGTGCCCACCCACAGGGAGGGCAGGGATGGTGTCAGGACGACAAGTGGAAGTTTGCTTGGAGGAGTCAGGCAGGCCAAGGTAGCAGGAGTGCCCAGAAGGGGGAGGAGGTAAGCAAGGGCCAGGCACAGAGAGGGTGTGTGTCAGGGCTGGAGCAACAAGAGCCACATGGCTGTGAATGAAGGCAGGGAAATGGATAATCACACATTCTCAGGGCTTTTTTTAGTCAGCTGCTTGTGTTTGTCACAGACCCTCATAGCCTTGTCCAGGGCATGCACTATCTGCACTCCCGGATAGGCAGCAGCTCATCACATTGATTTCAGGGACTCAAAACACAAGTAGCTGTAGCCAGAGTAAAGAGCAGGTGGAGCCTGCAGGAACTCATACTCTCTGCAGGTTGAGCGCAGCAGAGGAATTTGTATTTTGCCGTGTCAGCATGTGCTGTATGCACTGCTCGCGGGGGCTTTAGCTAACTGCGTTATGTTCTACCTGTTCAATCTATAGGCACGCATCGTGAAGAGCTCGGGTGGGAACATCTGCCGTTTTTCTGACCCTGTGTAAGGGTAAAGCATCTTCCCTTTGCTTTTGTAGTGTGTGCACTAGGCTTCTCGTCACCTGCGAGACCTTGCTTTCCCCCAGGGCTAGCGTTGCAGAGCAGAACTGTCTCCTGTAGCACACAAAATTGCTGTGACATCTTGTCGCTACTTCTTTGGCAGCTGACTATTCTCACTTTCTTTAGGGGCTAGATAGTAAGCAGAATGAACCATTTATCACGCTTTGCCTGTCATTGATGTGCTACCGTCGCAGCCTCTTCCCTGTTGAACTCCACAATACAGCTTCATCCCTTGCTAGTTGAGGTTTATCTTCCAGACATTATGAAGGAAGGGATTGTTCAGTCACAGCAAGCACAATTATATGCGCTGACTCCTGGACAGTTAGTTTAGACAGACCTACCTGTATCTCCTTGGCATAAGTAAAAGGTGATGGCTGAATTTCTCAGCTGCATTTTATCAAAACTTCACTCTCATAAGTGTAGGGCAGAGAGAAGCCAACTGGGTCAGAGTTCAGTCTTCTCCAACTGCAGAAAATCAAGCAATAGCTATTAAATTCAAATTTATTCTCCACGTACCATGGGCCACAGGGCACTTCCTAATATACTACGAAAACTTCAGATTTGTAGTAAAAGATCAAAAGCCACAGTGACAGTGGATTACAAGATCATCGGAGAGGCTGAGAGTACCAACAATATCCTTGATCCCTTCAAAGTTAGAGACTGATCTTCTCAACTAGTTCCGAAATAGAAATCTTTCACTGTATTCGCAGTGGTACAGTTCAGTGATCAATATCAACTGTCTGTTCCTTGGGTTTGTGTAACACAGAACTTACAGCAGAATACCAACTTTTTCCCAACTAGCTGAACTATGGAGACAGGCAACATAAACTTTTCTTTCTCTCAGCTCTACTTTATTCCTTTATTTCTATTTAAGAGAATCAAAATTGTCAGGTAATGATTTCCTTCATCCCAGGCTGCACAGCCTTAAGCAGAACTAGCTGTCTTCCAGCTCATGTTGTGTGCTCATTAATGTACCCCAGTGGGTCACAAACCTCCTAATGGGGGTGTGTGGGCAGATTGCTATGCAATTAAGCCTGGAAGGGTGCCAGAAAGCTAAATATGTTCATCAATCTTATTGTCAGAAGCTTGGAAAAATATGTAATATTTTCAGAATTTTTGAGAAGTACCTGCTGAGCTGTGGAAGTGGTTGTCGGAAAAGGATGTGTTCACCTGAAGTGCAAGGACACATAACTGTGAATTGGCTGTTGAAGGATAAACACGTGAAGGTCTATGCTGAACCTCATTTCTGTGTAACCACATGCATAGCCGCTCTCTGTAACTGGGCAAACTCTGCACTACTGTGTGACCAAAACACTGCCATAAGCATTCAGGTGGGATCTCCTTCATTGTGAGGGACTCTTCATCTAAATAGGGTGGCACCCTGGCGGTGC